CCAACTTTATACCTCTGGTTCTTGTTGCGTCATAGACAACGGGTCAAGGTTTTTACCTTTGGTTCTTGTTGCGACATAAACAACGGGTCAAGGTCCTATTATAAACCTGATTTAGCTTTCCCGGAGTTTAGAAATCCCTTGTTGTGCTGTGGGTCTCATTGTTCTCTTTGGGGTTCTCATCAATTCATCATCAGATTCACCCTCGGTTTCAATTTCTCCATATTCTCTCAAGATCATTGTGTGCTTATTAGGACATTACGATGCAACATGCCCCCTTCCCAAGCAACGAAAACACTTGATGTCTCGGTTTCTATCTTGCGTATTATCTGTTTTACTCTTCTCATTGCTGCCAACTTCTTTTGGCTTAAAAGCAGAATTTTCTTCCTTTTTGCTCCAATTCAGTTTCCAAGAAGATGAGGGACCTGAATTTTACCCAGTTCTACTGGTGGCTCCTTTACGCTTGAGTTGTCGTTCTACTTTCATTGCCATAGGCACCATATCTTCTAATGTGGTAGACCACATTAGCTATATCACGATTTAAGCCATGCAGAAATCGTTCCATAGTTGCTTCTTTGTCTTCTTCCACATTCACTCTAACTATTGCAATTTCCATCTCTTTGTGATAATCCTCAACACTTTTGGACCCTTGAGTAAAGCCCTACAATCACTGTTAGAGATCACGGTAGTAGTGACTAAGAACAAATCGTTTTCTCATCACAGCTTTCATCTCTTCCCAAGTGTCAACAAGACACTCTCGATTTCTACGTTGACTAAGCACAAGCTGATCCCACCACACCACAGCGTAATCAGTAAATTCCACAACTGTTAGTTTCACCTTTTTCTCCTCAAAATAGTTATGGCAGTCAAACACCAATTCCACCTTCTTTTCCCACTCCAAATACACATCTGGATCATTTTTGCCTTGAAACAGAGGAATCTTCATCTTGATGCTACCTAAGTCACGATCTTGCTGATCTCCCCACCTCATCAGATTTTGCTCTCTTTGGCCCCCTCTACCACTCATAATTTTGTCCATGCTGAAATTTGAGTTCTGGGTGATGGGAATCAAGATGACCCCACATGATGGGAACCCCAATGAGAACAATGAGACCCACAGCACAACAAGGGATTTCTGAACTCCAGGAAAGCTAAATCAGGTTTATAATAAGACCTTGACCCGTTGTTTATGTCGCAACAAGAACCAAAGGTAAAAACCTTGACCCGTTGTCTATGAC